GCTTTATTATCCTTTATTATAAGAAGGCATATATATAAGAAATTTAATAAAAAAAAATTCAAATATTTGTGTGGTCGAATTGTTCTTTTAAAACGGCCCGATTTGTACAAGCGGAAAATTTAAAATTCAAATAACTTTTCGGACTTTGCGTTGGTTACTTTTTGGGTGGGTGGCCATTTTCAATTTTGCATTCAGTTACGTATTTGTTCTTCAACGAACTATCCAAACAGTCGAGAGCGATTTTTCGTTATTAGATAAAAGTTTTAAATTAAATTGGACACAGTGAAGCACACGGTTGCCGCTTGTGTGAGGATATTTGCTGTGTTAACTTTTAAAATACTAATTTGCTCTTTTCCACTGGACAGTGATTCCATTTTAAACTATTACAACACACTTCCTTTCTTATTTCGTAAAAATGCATACAGCAAAATAAAAAATTGACTAAATATAATTTCGCACACATTCGCATAAGTCTGTCCAATAAATACATACATAAGTAATTTAATCGATATGTTGATAGGATTTATTTATGGATTAAACAAGTTCATGTCCAATTTTATTTCGTTAATTTTGCCTTATTTCCCCTGTGTCACATCAGAAAATTGAATTTTCTTTATTGTTACAAACTTAATACCGACCGCTATTGTACAGGTATACTTGTCAGAGCAATCCCAGTTTTTTCTTTAAGAATAAAAATGTTTAAAATAAAAATTAATATTAATAATACAATACATATATTTTTTCTGTGTCTAAAGATCGTAATTAGTATACGAGGTGTGTTCAGAAAATATCGGGAATTTTCGTTTTTTAAAACAAATATTTATTTATTCGTCTACATTAATGTTGTCGCCTTCAAAATAGTCCCCATTGGATATTATGCACATGTGCCAGCTCTTCTTCCAATACTCGAAACACTACTAAAACTCGATCTTTGAGATAGCCTTTAGTTCTTTCAGCGATGCGCTTTTAATGTCATCTATGCTTGCAAAACGACGTCCCTTTAAGGTTCTCTTTATTTTTGGGAATAGGAAAAAGTCAGACAGAGGCATGTCTGGCGAAAATGGAGGCTGGGGCATCATTACAGTATTGTTTTTGGCCAAAATTTTTTTTCAAAGTTTAACAATTTTAAAACAAATTTTGCTGCCAAGCGTTTCATACCCAAAACATTCGAAAAAATTTCATGGGATGAGCAAATCGATATACCAACATCATCAGCGACTTCTATGATGGTTTATAACCATTTCTTACACTTTTTCCATGTTTTTATCGGTTGTTAATGCGCTTGTGCGTTCGGGGCGTTCGTCATCTTCAACGTCTTCACGGCCATCTTGGAAACTCTTATACCACTTGTAAACTCTTGTTTTACTTATAGAAGACACACTTTAGGCCTTTGTTAACATTTCACAGAATTTATTTCATTTTTTAAGCAAAATTGGATACAAATTCTTTTATTGAACGAAAAATCGCCGAGCTCATAAAACACGTCTAACCTTAGCGGCTGCCACAGACAAAGTAAACAATGAAAACAGCTAAAGTTTTTATCATACTTCGGGGGTATATATACCAACATAATAAAGAAAATTTTATGACAAATTTAACAATTCTCGTTATTTTCTGAACACACCTCGTAGTTTTATAATGTAAAAGTATTAACCTTTTTTTAAATATAAAATCAGGTTTATTTTAACAATCAATTTTAGTAAATGTTTACAAATTAAAGTGCGAAATTTAGCGAGAAATTTGGTATAAATCTAAATTATTTCTATTAGTTAGTTTAGCAAGTTTGCAGTTGCACTTTTATAAAACCTGCTGGCCTAATTTCTCTACCAAAAGTCCCAATGGACATGTGTCGGAACGTAACCAAAGTGAATTTAATAAATGAATGTCGCACCACTTAGCACTTGAAATGTGGTGTTTAACCCTCTTCAACTTTTATTTTCGAGTTCGATATCCTCGATTTTTTAAACGAAAAATACGTAATTGGTAACATACTTTGGCAGAGTTACGCAATTGGGAATCGCTTCAGTCTCGCTCATTTGCACTAATTTAATTTTAACGATATTTTTCACCCTCCTTTAAAATTAATTAAATCAACAAATTAACGGATATATCCGTTAATAGCTATAGCTGTAAACTGTTTTATTGTTGCGCGATTGTTAATTATAGCAATTTGTTAACCGTTTAAAAAATCAGGGCTCATTTTGTTCATTCTGTATTTATTTTGCAGTTGCTAAACACAGTGGCATTTGTTCTTTTATGTAGGTATGTGTTAATTTTTTTGTTTAGGAAATTGATTAATAAAGCAAAATTTTTTATCAAAATTCGTTTCATTTATGTTCCCAATTGAGTCATTCCAAATAAAAAACCAAATGGGGTGCGCCGCTTGATTTTTTTATTTTGATAAAAAAAATTGAGGATGATCTTTTAGGTATCAAATATGAAAATCCGTTGCCGTTTTAATTTTTGGATTCTTTTCTTTTAATCGGCACCCTTTAGAAATATGAAATCGTGTCAATTTCTTACTCTCTTATAGTGGGCCAGAACTTTCTTTCTGTGACAACTATTGAAATGATTTTTGCTTGTTTGCTTGTTTGAAAAAAGATTAATATCACTGTGTTACAAAACTTGTTTTTTTAAGAAAAAATAGCATTTTTACTTCTTAAACTAAACATTATTAAATTCGCTATTTTATTTTTATTTAAAAAGTATCACTGCTGTAACCGGCAGTAACACGAGTTTAAGTACCAGAAGTTCCAGCTGTTCATCTAAAACTTGATAAAAATGCAAAATATAATCAATATAATCAAAAATACGAATAGAGAACCCATGTTTTAATATAAAACTAAAAAAAATACCTGAATTATACCACAACATTGGAACACCAAATTTTATTAACTTCTTTTTCTTTTGTGATCATTTAATTAAATTGTTATTACAAGTTCTGCAAACTTTTCAACATATTCATTTATATGTATTGTAGGTACAATTGTTTTACATTTTCATATTTTGGAACTAAGTTTTGTTTTATATTATATTGTCCTTTAAATAAAAAAAATAATTTAATTAAATATATTAATTAAGAAGAACGTTTTATGTTGCTGTCACTGATTTACTATATAGTACATATGTGTTTTTAAGTAAACAAATCAATTTTACCTTTAAACAACATCGTTTTTGCTACAAAAACTGCAATTTTTTGTAGTAATAATATTTTTTCAAAAGGGCGAATACGCCAAATTTACGATTTTGAGCTTTATGCACGAAACAATACGTCATGCTGTGGGATCATTCTAGCAAAAGGACGAATGCATATAATGGATTATATATTATATATATAGGTATATATTCATTTTTCTTTTTTAGGTAATGCAGAAATACCTACTTTTTTTTTGTTTTTCTTAAAACAGGAAAATGGCATATTCGCCCTTTTGCAAAAATACCATCGATATATTACAATATATTACCAGACAAAAATGTAGTTTTTGCATACAAGTATTGTTTTTAAGTATAAATAAATTTACGTATTTAAAAATAATAACATGTTTTTTGATTAAAGCATTAAAGAGAATATTTTTTTTATAAAAATGCCAAATTTTCGACTATACAGGGTGTTATGTAATTAATGTTATATATTAAAATGGGTTGTTCCTTAGGGTCCATAAAGAAGCACCTGAAACTTTTTTTTCTAAATTCCAAAGTCTAAAAATAATTTATAATAACCTTTATCCTACCAAAAAGTACGCCACTGATCGACTAGGAACTTTAATCTGGTGGATTTATTATGTTATGGTTGGTAACAACAGTTTTTCTAAAATCTCTCAAAAAATTTGACAAACATTGATTAAATTTAGCTTAATTACAAAAATGACAAAATTAACAATGCAAATTGTCAATTTGGCGTTTTTATTAATTGTTGGTTATTTCATTTTTGTACTGAAGGTAAATTCAAACAAAATCTGCCAACTTTTATGACAGAATCTAGTGCATTTCTTTTAAGTTTTAGGTTATGTTTTCAAATTGTAAATATCTTAACTAAGGGAAGTGCTTTTGGATTTATTTACACAAATTAAATGTTTAAAGTTTAACCTGTGAACTGGTCCCAATTTCATCTGAGTAAACAGAGAAAAAAACTGATGAAAAAATTAATTTTGTGGTTATGGATTTCAAATTTCAAAGGTACTAAATTTTCTAATCATTGCTTAAGCTAATAGCTGGATGAGTAAATAAATACAGAAGGGTATTAGAGCTTTAAGGGCATAAAACTTTTGTATTTATTGAGTTTTTATTTATTTTTTGCAAGAAAAATTTTTAGTAACAATTTTTTACATCTGGTAACGCATAGCTACTTTGTTGGTTGGTATCTATGTACTCACAAAATACAGGTGTGCAGAGATAAACAAGTGTGTAACCAGTGGCGTATCACAAAAAATATAAAAAACTTCTAATGCATATTTTTTCTTTATCTTTGGAAAAATGCTTTTTAAAATATTTTTCCTTTATTCCTTATGTCAAAAGGTATTCAGTATTTTAATATATAACATTAATTACATAACACCCTGTATTGCCAGAATAATGTTAAAAAATTAAAATTGTTTTACTTATTTTTTTCCTACTATAGGGTGTCCAAAAATCTACCAACTTTAAATGCGTATAATAAACAACTGAGACGTGATCTAAAAAAAACCTAATAGGGTGTATTACCTTTCATTTGCTTTTGGTTTCATCCCATTCCCTTTTGCACTGTTGCACTGTGTATTTAGTTAAATACATATTGTGATATTTCTTCAAAAATATCTCGCCAATAAAATCCATCTCGATGTTGTTGTTTTTGACCCGCCACTTCTGTTGAATGCACCGCATCAACAGGTGCCATCTCTTCGGGGGTGGGGGCGCTCACGTAGGGGAACGATTGTGCGGATTGGCGGGCTCCGGTAACCGGAAGCGGCCCCGACTTCGACGGCGGATCCTCCGGACTGCTGAAGACTTCAGTCGCGCGACATCCGAATTGCGGGAAAACAGTCAACGGAGCGAAAAACTGAGTTGGCACGCGCCCCACGCACATAGTTGATATGAGTTTGAAAGTTTGCGATTATCTTCTTGTAGAGTTTGTGTTAAAGCCGCACTTTACCGAATGGTGTTAGATATCGTTGTTAGCTGTTCTTTGTAGTTAGTTGTTGTGGCTGTTCTACTTGTAATTATCACATGTAAGTTGTAACATTACATAGTTTTCAAGTTGTAAAACTAATAAAATTTATTAAAAAAAATTATACGAAATATTTAAATCAAATCTATTTTTTTATAAACATAAATATGCATTTTTTATTTTTCAATATTTTAAAGATAAATTGCTGTTTTAGGTAATATTTTTCATTTCGTTTTTGTAAATATCATATAATTCATATATTTCTTTCTCGGATTCCTCATCCCTTTTCTGGATTCTAAACGTAACTACTAATTCTTTGGTCTGACTTCTGAAATAGTTTGTTGCAAATATCATTAAGTGTGGTATCTCTAGTTTGTGAAGCATTTATAATGTTTAGGCCAGAACAGGATGATTTATATTAGGCTGGTTCAAAATAATGAACTATTTTTTTCTGAAATTTCGCACTGAAATATGTTCACGATACCAAAAAAAGAGACCTGTAAAAACCAGAGCTCTTAATTTTAATATTTAGAGGTCTCGCATCGAGAATTTATATTTCCCATTTAAATAACATGGGAAATTTTGTTTTGTTTCTTTATAATTTTCTAGCTCAAAAACTAATTAAAAGATTTTTAAGCGCGATATATATTCTTGTGGGAAATTGAACGCTCTTCAAAAAATGTCTCGAGTCGAATTTAAAGTTATATCATAATTGCATGTTTTACTTCAATTTTAGGCAAATTCATTAGTTAGTTTTTATCAAATATAAAAAAATCAAAATTACCATGTTCAATAAGCCTTTTAAATTAATTCAACTAAAACACCTACTATTTTTGGAAAGAATTGATTAAAATTCTTTTTAATTAATTAAAATCCTTTTTAATGAATTCTTTCCAAAAATATTAGGTGTTTTAGTGGAATTAATTTAAAAGGCTTATTGAACATAGTAATTTTGATTTTTTGAATGATTTTTTTTTATATTTAATAAAAACTAACTAATGAATTTGCCCAAAATTGAAGTAAAAAATGCAATTATGACAAATTTAACTTGAATAATAATAATAACTTGAATAACTTTTGAACTCGTTGGTTTATCGAAAAATGATAGGAGACATTTTTTGTAGAATATATATCGCGCATAAAAATCTGTTAATTATAACTATAGTTTGTGAGCTGGAAAATTATAAAGAAACAAAACAAAATTTCCCACACTGTTTAAAATATCTGTTGTGTAAAAAGTAATCCTAAAATGGTGTCAAAATCCAACACCAATTGGTGTTAATATAACACCATGAATTATGGTTGAAAATGAACACTAAAACGGTGTTTATCTAAAAATATTTGAGAAGTGCACCTACACAGAAAAAAAGAAATAGTTCATTTAACTATATTAATTTAGTTGACACATAAGTATTTATTTTTTTGTGGATCACGTGATCTTAAATCTCGCCTCTGTTGACTTACATGAAGAATATATAAGCTCATGTTGTCCTTTGCTTTGGTGTGACACTACAAGTTGTTCGATACATCTTAAATAGGTGGAAACAGCTGTCAATACTTGAAGTATTTTAAGTTAGTGGAACGAACTAAAAACATTATCTCTAGCGAGTTGAAGGTTCAATTTTCTGGAATAATACCACTGGTAATGTACTAGTAATGCGTCAAGGAACTTCCTGTTTCCTTTTTTTTTCCTTTTTTCTGTGTAGTATGATTTAATTTGACCACAAACACATAATATTTAACACTGAAAAGGAGTTCAATTTACACCAGGTAAAATTTATTTTAATACTGTATTAAAGTTAAATTTACCCCATTTTAGTATTTGAATTAACACCATTTTAGTATTTAAATTAACACCGGACCAACGAACCCTATTTAACACCATTTTGGTTTGTATCGATATAGACCAAATATGGTGTTAATTTGGTGTTAAAATGGTCATGAAATTTTGAACAGTGCATGTTATTTAAATGGGAAATAGAAATTCTCGATGCGCTACCTCTAAATATTAAAATTAAGAGCTCCGGTTTTCACAGGTGTCTTTTTTGGTACCATGAAAAAATTTCAGTACGAAATTTTAAGAAAAAATAATAGTTGATTTTTTTGAACCAGCCTATTACATAGTTTTTATGTTGTAAAACTAAATTTATACGAAATATTTAAATCAAATCCAATCAGTATATATTTTTTTATAAACATAAATATGCATTTTTTATTTTTTTAATTATGGTATTTGGTTTCAATATTAATTAGGAACAATATTTTTTAAAGATAAATTGCTGTTTTAGGTAATTTTTTTCATTTCGTTTTTGTAAATATCATATAATTCATATATTTCTTTCTCGGATTCCTCATCCCTTTTCTGGATTCTAAACGTAACTACTAATTCTTTGGTCTGACTTCTGAAATAGTTTGTTGCAAATATCATTAAGTGTGGTATCTCTAGTTTCTAAAGCATTTATAATGTTTATCATGCACTGTTATTCTGCAAGATGTCCTGTGACGAAGAAATCACTATATTACTTACTTAAAATGTCATAGCTAAAAAGCAATTCCTATGAAATATTATTCGCTGAATCCGAAAATGTCGTCAAAGCTTATAAAAGTAGAACACTTTTTGAAATATAATCAATTTTACATATAATATGGAATTGACTATATCTCAAAAACTGCTCAACTTTTATAGTTTTTGACGGTCTTTTCGGATTCAGGGAACAATTTTACATAAGAATTGGCTGGTAAATGTCTGGGATACAAATAGAGTATGATATTGGACATATGTCCAATACTAGAAATTTACATTTTTTACCAACCAGTAATTGGACAATAGCCATTTTACTGTTTGTTTTTAGAATTAAAATTAAAACGCATTAAAGTGACAATGTTTAAACCATGAGGAACACATTTATATAAACCACACACCGATCTGTACACTTTTTAGAAATATTTTTTATTGTAATTTAAACACAGCCCTGCTCTTAACAAAAAAACAAAAATCTTACCACCAAAGTAACGTGCGAACATTTTTGTCCTATATTGGACCCAAAATAAAATAGTTCTATATTATTACCGACTGGGATATTTATAATTGCACACAGCGTCATCTAATGATTTGACTTTAAGGTAACAATTTATAGAACTATTGATTTTACAGTATTAATGTTAATTGTCCAATAAATATAATAAAGTGTCCGATAACTGTCTACTTTACCCTATTTTTAATACGAATTTTTTTTATTATTTCTTGTTCCGTTTAATATTCTGTTCGAACTAAATAAAAATATTTATAAATAAATAAAAAAAAAATTAATATACAAAAATAACTGTTAATCTTTAGAATCATGTTCATCGTTATCAATCATAGGTAGTTACATATACATATATCTTTGGAGTCTTATTTTTGTTATCGTAGAAAAAACCCATGATAGGTTTTTTTAACTATTATCGAAATATAAGCGATAGAAACTAATTTTTTTTAGACAATTCAATGCTCATTTATTTAAAAAAGAGAAACCACTTAGAATTGAAATTAAGTAGTTCTTAATAAGTACTAATAATTTTAGAGCGAAATTTATTTCATCTACTCCTAAATTGACAAGCTGTGACTTTATAACATTTTAGTCACAGGCTGAAGTTTACAACATTGGCTTTTAATCACGGGCTTTTTTTCTTTCCGTCCATACCTGTCAATTATTAAAATTATCCCTACTTTTATAAAATATTTCTTGCATTTTTTTAATTTAATGTATAGCCCAATAAAAAAAAAATTTTTTTTTGACAATTTTGATGACAAAATATTATATAATAAATTATCTACAACAGTTTTATAATTCGTGCGTTTTCCGCGCTTGAATTGGCCCAGATGTCAAATTTTTAACAAATAAAATAGCGTTTATAAAACTTGATTTTTTGATTTGCTTATAACATAAATGTTTTTTTATTAAAAAACGTGCCAAAGCACAATAATTTTCATTAAAATCAATATTACATCATGATTTGGCATAAATTAACGAAATCCATATTTCAAATAACTATCAAAACGTGACACAACAAAACAAATATCTTTATCAAAAAAACGATTACTATTTCTATTTAGGTACGATGCATATTGGTAAAAATGTTCTCTCTCAATTAAAAAAAAATTTTACAATACATTTTACCAAAACGTTACCGAAATGATTTCTTATTATATGTATATGTAATTGATAATTAAGCAATTATTTTATGTGATACTTTTTATGAAGGTTATTTGTCTTTTTAATTGTTTATAATATAAAATGTTGCCTTAGGATACTGATTATTAAAATTCTTATCTAAATAATGATAATATATATAATTTTGACTTATGCACAAATACATGTGTAATAAAAAATTCTGTACATTGTAATAAAAATGAATAAAATCTTAAATAAATGATTAAGAACTAATATATTATCAATAATAATGTTATTAAAAAAAAGCTCTCAATATTGATCTTGAATTTTAATCATTTTAGGAATATGTATAACATAGGTAGTAAAAACCCAGTGCATAAAATATTATTAACCAAACTAAATTTACCTAAAACCTTTTAAAACCAGTCCATTGTTTCTAAAGATTTCCATGTAAATTAAAACGACATTTTTTGAATGTGAAGCTGAAAAAACTGCTTACGCTAAAATATTTATAAATCGAATGAATGAATTACAATGTAAATTTACGTAGGTACGAGATTTTTATTTCTTTTCACACTTATTTGAATTATTCTTAAATATTTTGCATTTATACGAAATTTCTTTCGGATTTTATTTTAACATAATAAATTTATTCCTAATTTGCACATTCTATTCGAAATTATAAAAAAGCTGTTTTTTTGGTCTCTATTTACCTTTAGCAAAGTTGTTACATGTTTTAGTTAAAATATTTGTATTGATACATCAAACTAAATTTTAATATGTTAAAAACAGTTTTGCAAAAATGGTGGATGCACCACCATTACTATTAATCTTAAATCCTATAAATAAATTTAATATAATTTCTGAAAGAATAAGTTGTTTGTATTTTTTGTTTTATTGGTATAAAATGATAAAATCAAGTACCTTATGATACTGTATAATATAAAAATATTTTGATTTGAAATAAGTGGTGCTTTTCTGCCGGTTAGGTGAAAAATACTATTGTTTTACACAAAAAAACCCATAAATATTTAAGAAATTAAATTTAATGCTATTAGTTCTGTAGGATAGTTTACAAATATTAATTTTGTTCAAATATAAGCAACAGCTAAGTTCTTCAGACTTGAAGATTGCACTGTAAATTAAATTGTTTAATTTTGTCGAGTCAAATTTTTTTAGCTTAACTTTTCATTCGTGCTTTAAATCCAAAATTAGTGGTATCAAGACAAAGATAGCATGCTATAAACAAGTGGCTTTGTTAGGCAAAATGCCCCACGGGCGCTTTTTAAAGACGTTGCTGCACTGTGACGAAAAACAAGAATTTAGTCTGATAACTTCAAAAGTAAAAAACAATGTCATATTTATCAAAAATAAACTTAGTATGGACTTTTAATACATATTACCACCAATATCAAAAATATTCAACCGTACTGGACTACTTTAATGCATAGTTTTTTTCGGGTAAAATTTTGTTTTTATGCACGGTGCTCCGTTCGTCAAAACCTTATGGAATCGTTTGGTGTGTCGTAGTTGAGGCAAATCAGACAGTCGCAGTCAACAATAAAAGTGTACAGATGTCTGTCAAGTCGTATCTGTGCCTAAAGGGCTGGGAATAAATTTATCATAAGTTTAAAACGTGACACTCCGTAAGAGGATTATCTTGTTATGAGGGAGTGATTTAAGACCGTTTAAGTGAGGTTTAAAATATTAGTAAAACTAGATATGTTTTACATAAATTTATTAGTTGTCAAAATGACGAACTTTTGTATTAGTAATTTGTTTCTTTTCTATCCCGGCGCATTCGCCATTTTTACAACAATTTTATAATTTTTTATTTTGGCATAATAATTTAGTACGTCATTTTATAAGGAGCTCTGTCAAAGTTCATATAACATTAACAGTAACCTTCTCTCGAGGGACTCCCCGATCATAGCCGATATAGGCAACCCAAAGTAATCTTTCAATATTATATTAGCAATTGTTTGTATTAGGACTCGGGAGCAGTTTAAAAGCAAACTAATACGATACGTGGTCGGGTATTTATTTCCCACCGGACCTCCACTTATACCGTTACGAATTCGCCATGTATTGCCAACTTGTAAATTCAAAAAATACCAACTACTTAAGTTTAGTTTCGGTTAGTTTGTGAGCAAGGCAATTACATAAAGCTGTCCTTTCACGCCTAAACTGCCAAACCGATTTTGATGAAATTTGAAATGAAGATAGTTTGACATATTTTTATTTATATTTAAAAACTTACCTTCTTATCGATGTAAAATTCTGATCCAGAAAATCCTTTGCATGTTTCAAAACGTCCTGAGGAGATCTGGGTTCGATTCGCCCAGGTTGATCCATCATACTGCAGACACACTATGTACATACATGGTGAAGTCTAAAAAAATGATATTAAGTTATTATGCCGATTTAATACGAGTATTGTATGCAACCTTTTATACATTTTAAGATGTGCCTACTGCTCCTCAGCACAACTAAATAATATTTTAAAAAAAGCAGAAAGCTAAGATAAAAAAAACATAAAAGAGAGTCTAATTGTTAAAAAAAATTACAAATTGTTTAGCTTAAGTTTAAAAACCGGCCTTTTGTTTCAGGTACCTCAAAAACCACTTCAACCACCAAGCAGAAAAAAAGTAGGCCTCCATCAAATGCAACTGGCTTCAAAAATAACAAAACTAACCCAACAACCGTCTGCAACCAGCTTCGAAAAAGTAACGTCGACAAAAATCCGAATCTTTGCGCAGGCGCGTTTCCAAAAATTTCAAAATGTTCGCGCTCCGAAAAATGTCGCTGGTGAACAGCAACCACGTGTCTGCAGCGACGCCGGCCGCCGCGACGGCGAACGTCAACCACGAAAATTTTTCGGCGCACAATTCGCCCGGTCAGCACAAGAAACCGGTGAGGTTGAAAAACGTCGCCACCAGGTCAGAAGCGTTCGATTCGTTGCACATCAAGCCGTGCGAGGTAAGTTTTTTCAGGGTTTTGGTTATGAAAAATATAATACTTCTTGTAAGATTTTTTTATTAGGATTAGGACAGCCACCTAGTTCATAGACAGTATGAACTCGGTTTTGTTAAAACATCTTGTAACAGTTATTAGACAAACTATTATCTCTTATAAAATCGATATGCTGCCACCATAAAATGATGTTGTAGAGAATATAATTAAAATCTTAAATACTATACACCCGCTTTATATCGAGTATTACATGTTTTTTAGCCAGCATAACTTCATATTGCTATGTGTATTTAAAAATTCTTATTATTAATAATAATAATAATAAAGTTTATTTCAAAAGCATAACTTCATATTGCTATGTGTATTTAAAAATTCTTATTATTAATAATAATAATAATAAAGTTTATTTCAAAAATAATGTTTAAAAGTTACAGTAAACAGACAAACAGTAAATAGAAACTGGTCAAAGAATGCAAACAAAAAATGCTATCATGGCCGAATAATTTACATAGTAAAATCACTTAAAGCATATGGTTCCATTTCACAAATATAATCATAAAGGGTGGTTATAAAAACTTGTATTATTTTTATGCTTTTTATATTTTCTGGAAGTTTATTATAAAAAGATATACAAGAATATAATCGTATTTTAAATTACTTTGAAAATTGGCAAAATATATGGTTTTTAAAGTTCTTTGGTCAACGTAACTCCTCAACACAAACATTGTGTAGCATACTTTATTAAGCTTTGTAATCATGTATTCTATAGAATTTAATGTAGTGGCTAATACTTTTTACAAACTCTGTTTATTCTCTTTATTAAGCTTTGTAATCATGTATTCTATAGAATTTAATGTAGTGGCTAATACTTTTTACAAACTCTGTTTATTCTCTTTATTAGCAATTGAGTTACTTTAATAAAATATGTCTTATAGACGAAATTATGCATTTTTCATAAGAATTATTATACCTACTTGCTGACAGGATAAGAGTCGTTATAAAAAGTTCAAATTTTATAAATTTTATACTTTTATTATTAAAAACAGGTACAAGAAATAAATAAAACATAAATAAACATAATTAGGTATATAATAGTACAGAAGTAAATCAAAATTTTGCATGTCGAAACTTACAAAGAATGCCAAGGGAGAAAATAAAACAAGCGTAAAAATATTCCTATAGGAAAGTATACTTACAAAAACCCCACAGCGTGTCATTGTAATTTTTTTAAATTATTATTTGGAAAATGTTATTTTTTAATTTTTAGTAAAATTGTTTGTTTTTGTTTTGGGGGCTATTTTTTAAATAATTTGTATCATGATTTTTTATTAAAATCCCTTGATTAAAATCGTTAATTTTATTCAACTAATTAAATCAAAATTTCAACCTTATAAAACAAAACTATAAGAACTAAACTACCTATCTTTAAACTATTATCCAATAAATGCTAAAACAACGTGCCATAGAATACATTATTGGGGAATATAGGTATTAGATATATATGGGTAGGTACAGGGTGAACCATATAGTTATCTCAGAAATAACTGTCCCAAAAAATGTGTAGAGAACAAAAATTTATTTAGGTAGTATATTTTTAATATTATATTAACATTGTTATTATATATTAATATAAATAAATAAAATAAAGTTTAACTTAAAATATAAATAATAAACAATTTTAAACCAAATGTTCCATATCCACACTTCTTAATAATTTTGCTCTTGATTTTTACAATTTTTGCTATTATTTTTCCAGTAATTTCTAAGATAACTATATCCGTATATTATACTTATAAGTATATGGGTCACCTTACGTAGTTCACCCTGTACATTTACGTATATTATATAATGTAAAATTAATAAATTATTATAATGGGAATCAATAAAAACAGTTTACGTGTACCTGTTTTGGCTACACGTGCTTAACTCATTGTGCTGTTCCAAGATCAAGGTATACACCTTTATTAAACTAAGGCTTATGCTCGTATCATGATGTATAATTATTACAAAAACTTACCCTTAACGATTGCCAGCTATTAGAGCCAGCAGATGTCACAACATATAAACAAAACACTACAGCCACAGACACTTATTCCTCGCGGTCAGTTCGCATCTCCTCTATAGTAACAGCTTGTACCATAGAGTGTAAAGACGACTATTAAACAGTATAAGACATATTATAGTTCTTATAAAAAAAATATCAATTAAAATAAATGATATCGGCAAAAAAACATTTCATAAACAATATGCATCTAGATTGTAGTCAGTATTAAACAACTGGAATAAAATCAAAATTATAACAATTACTACACAGCTTATTGTCTTCATAAACGAATATGATTCTAAATAAGCATCCTTTTATTGTCTTTATGAAACTCGTCTTAACAATACTGGTTTATAGAAACATTTCTTTCAGTCTATAAATAAAATTAATTTAATTTAATTTGTGTAAGTAATACCATTATTTGTTATAATTTTATATGTACATGTTAAAACTTTTTGTTATTTTTATTGATATGCGTTTATTTTGCGGTGAAGTGCATAAGGCTTAACATACATTTTTCCATTTAAATGATTTGTATGTATACAAATTTGCTATTTTCACAAATTAATTCGTTTGTAAAGGTCTCAATTAAAAGAGGATTTCGTTTAATTTGCCGCAGTAGGTGTGTACCAAACATTAACATTTCGAATAGGTATGTATGTCAATTTTACAACGAGATTTACAACGATAATTACACGATTGTCACTCACTTGTAAAGCGTATTAGCCGCTGTTTTGTAATTACCACCTATACCTACAGGACGCAGTGCCGTAGGCACCCAGAATTTGTTTTTTCAAGAAATAAAAAGGGGGTAAAATTGTAAAAATTGTTTTTGAGATATAGTTAATTCTTCATATAATACACTCACAGGCAAAATAATCGATCCACACAAATTTTCGATGAATTTCAATCGCAAATAACTTTTTTATTTGATTTCGAATTTAAACAAATATTAAAAAAATATTGTAGATACATTAATGGAGAATCGCTCACATTTTAAAAATTACTAAAAAATACACGTACGTTTATAATACACAGGTTTAAACAAAAATATGTTTTTTACCATAAGTTTAAGACACTCTGTAGAGTGGCTAAACCGTAGATTGTTCTAAATTAAGTTTTAATTATCAAGTCACATCTATTCTTAACAGTCTTGTTTTTGGTTCACCTCGATATATTTATTTTTGTGGAAAATATGGATTTAAAAAAAAACATTACAATTTCCAATATTTTCCCGTATGAAGAATTAAGGTTGCTATGGTCCATCCATAGCCTATGGAGGATGACAGTGACAGTTTTGTTGAATCATCCCATACTTGGACATGTCATATACATCTTTCAAAAGCTATCAAATTGTTTTTTGTAAATTAATGTGTTAATTTTGAGGTGTGTTCTTACTTTTAAAAATATCTCCGACTGATGTTGCCCTTTGTACTTTACTTCTTGGGACGTTTAAAACACTTGCCACGTAATACCGTCCATCCTGGATTAAATTAATGTCTCTGGCAACATTAGTCGGAGACATATCCATTTTTTAAAGTAAGAAGACACCTCAAAATTTAAACATTAATTTGCAAAAAACAATTTGATAGCTTTTGAAAGACGTGTATGATATGTCCAAGTATGGGATGATTCAACAAAACTGTCACTGTCATCCTCCATAGGCTATGAATGGACCATAGCAACCTTAGTTCTTCATACAGAAAAATATTGGAAATTGCAATGTTTTTCTTAAAAATCCATATTTTCCACAAAAATAAATATATCGAGGTGAACCAAAAACAAAACTGTTAAGAATAGATGTGACTTGATAAATAAAACTTAATTTAGAACAATATACGGTTTTGCCACTCTACAGAGTGTCTTAAACTTATGGTCAAAAACATCTTTTTGTTTAAACCTGTATATTATAAACGTACGTCTATTTTTTAGTAATTTTTTAAAATGTGAGCGATTGTCCATTAATGTATCTACAATATTCTTTAATATTTGTTTAAATCCGAAATCAAATAAAAAAGTTATTTGCGATTGAAATTCATCGAAAATTTGTGTGGATCGATTATTTTGCCTGTGAGTGTAGTAATTTTTGACTAATTCATTTTAAGAGAAATGGGTATTGCGATACTCTTTTAGCTCGAACATTAATGCCCATTGACAGCGGTCTCTTTTAATTTCCAAACCGGCAAAATAAAGTAAATAACTATTGACCTCTGCTAATTTCCAGACGAGATAACAAATTTTAAGGAATTGCATTCTGAAGTGCATTATTCAGCGGTTCGTTAGGGAAGTAAACATCATTTATATAATTTGGCCGATGTTTTCGTGACCCGCGCTGAAATTTCCTGACTTTTCAGTAAATTTTCATGTGTACCACACCACGTGTCGCCCCCGTCTATTATTACCCTGCTCCGCAAAGACAATTTTCAAATTAATTTTATGGTTATGCTTAATTTGAGTTTACGTAAATAGAAATGCTCGGCATGAAAGCAATCTAATCCCTGAAATTATTATTTTAAATTTAGGTTTGTGATTTCAATCAGTGAGTTAAAAAAATACGATGTAAAATTTAAAAAAAAATTAACAAATAAAATTTAAAGAAACTTGACTAAAAACTTTTTCTACACCAAATACTTAATATTATCTAAAAAATGAGAAACAATCCCAATATACATTTTTAACGTAATTTTTACGAAAAAAATACTACTTAATAACAAAATTGGTGATTTTTTTGGCACACCTATCAACCATGTTTACCTTAGCTTGCTGCAGATGCCTCGTTTATTTTATTTCCATAACAACTGTTGATTGTTCAGCATAGTTGCCAAATTCACAAAATTAATAAATATATGTATACAGTTCATTTTTTTTTATCTGCACTCGTGTTTTTTTGTTAGGTTGGTGGTTTATGCCAGTTTGACTTAGTATTTTTAGTATTTAAAAATGGTACTTCTGCTAAAGAATT